AAAAAAGAGTGCCAGCACATTTTAACATGTTGTAGCATATTTGTAAACATCGTTAATCACGGATTAGCAGATGGTAATGTTAATTGCACCTGTGGAAGTAACAAGACCTCAAGGTTGATTACATTTACAAACTCGGATCGGGGCTGCGGCGCGGTGGAGGATTCCCCACCGCCGGCGAGGAAGGTGCCCCCTTGGGTGGCGTTGCCAGCACCGCTCCTGCCCCAGCCCAGCGGGTGCCAGGATCAGCCCCGGGACCGCGCTGTTCCCTCCAGCCACGGCACCACCTCCAGCTTTGCAAAGACAAAAGCTGTCTCTGTCCCAAAGCGCTTCCAGGCTCGGCAAACCTCCTCAGGACCCAGCGATGGATCTGATGGAACGGGATTTCTTCAGTCCTGTTGATAACCTGTGCACAAAAGCGAAATCTGGGGCATGAGCTGAGCTTCTCTCGCAGCCAGCTCTCCCTGGAGTTGATTTTGGGGCATGAAAAGATTTGTGTTCGCCCTCGTCTGAGGATAAAAAGGCCAAGGCACGGAGCACATCTTCTGAACCAAGGCGGACAAATATTTTGCCACTGTGCTTAGAGACACTTTGATTATTGAGAAATCATTTTGGAAGGGCAATTACTAAATTTTAAAATCAATTTGGTAAATAAGCCTCTGAAAGGAATCCATGACAAGCAGCAGGGAGGGAAGAATTGACTTTCAAATTACACACACACACACTTTATTCATATCTAAATATCAAAGAGACTGTGTGTACAAACAGAAGTAATCAGGAAGCATGTTTTGATCTTGCTGATGTACACAAAAAATGACAATTAATGTCCTCCTTTATGATATAAAGCCGGGAGTTTTTTACAGTTACATTACAGGGACGATTATAGTCAAGCTTAAGGCTAAAAATAATGAAAGACTATAAAAACTACATTTTAACATTTAAAAATATCCAGGAAATTAACTGGAGAAGCAGGCAATGGTCCAATTAATGGATCGCATTTATTAGATCAGGGGCAAATCGCACAGCACAAAGCTCCATCTCCAAAGGGGCGAGTGTACAGAGGACCCCACGCTCCTCACGGGTCTCAGCCCGGAGCAGGATGGAGCTGGGGCAGGAGAAAGCATCGGCCACAGCAGATACATCCAAAAGCCAGCTGGGTGACGGGCAGAGGGACGTCCCAGTGAAACAAAGCGGGGCCAAAACTTACCACCGAGAGACACGGGCTAAATGCAAACAGCAGAGCCCTCCGGAGTGGGATTTACTGCACTGACAAAAGCCCGTATTGCAGCTCTCAAGCAACAGTCTGGGCTGCAGCCCTAGTTACGCACGCAGGTTCCTGCCTCTTAAAATTCAAGCCTCGTGCAACTCCCAATAAGCCTCGTCCGATACCCCCGGGCCGAATCAGGGTGCCCTGCGGATACAGCGGCTGTGTGGGGAGATTCGCAGGGGAGTCGCGAAGCGGGAGCTTCCATCCACCTCACTCACCCCGCCAGCAGAGCCCCTGGGGCACGGGGGTTTCAAAGCTTTTTGAGAGCCTTCCAGAAGTAAAGTAGCTGCTCCATCGTTACTCACCTGCCTCCCCATTAGAGGGGGGAGCTGGCATGGCAAAGCACAGTCTGATGGCGTCCCGCTTTCCCAAACGCACGCAACGCCAGTGAAGTGCCTCCTCTGTTAAAGTGCTCAAATAAATAAGAAAAAGGAGAAACTGCAGTTCCTGTGAAATCAGAAATATATATACTCACCTGTAGGTCAAGAATAAAGAACCGGCTTTATCCTCATCCCCGCTGCTGGAAAGGAAGGATTCGGTTAGCCCCAAGTGCTGAAGCCTTCCTCTGAAAAATGAGCAAATCTGAGCCACGGGCACCCTCTGCTGGGGCACCCACGGCTGCGTGAGCCACACCGGCGGGGGGCTGGCCTGCAGCCTTCCCAGCCCCGAGCCTTTTTATTTCAGCATTAAAATAAAAGACATGTTCAGCTCACAAAACGCAAGTGCTACACACCCGCCCGGAGAGCTGTCGCCCCAGCGATGCTCTGGTTCACCGCTGTTCAGTGACCAGCTCACCTTTGGCCCCGGGCAGCAGAGCTCCGCTTGCGCTACAGCTCTTTTTTGGGGGGGATTTGGGTTTTGTCCTTTTCCACAGAATGAGTACTCGACACCTTTGAAAAGCAAAAGCTTTCACTGCAAAGCGAGCAGGATCCCACCTGCAAGCCAGGAGGGGCCAAACCTTCTCGTGGGGCTCCTCGAGGACCCCCAGCAGGGTGTGGGGGCAGCCGTGGCCCCAAGACACCTCCATTGCCACCGCACAGAGGGCTCCGAGCAGGAGAGGGAAATAAGGCCCCGACTGTGCAATCGAAAGCGAAGCGCTGGCCACCGCATCAGCCCTTCCCTTGCAGGGTGGGCAAAGCCCCCGTGGCCGCAGCAGCCGCAGAGCTCCTTGTCCCATCCCCTATCCCGGGCACCCGGGGCATCCCCAGCCCCACAGCCGCCCACCGCCACAGCACCCACCAGCCAGGGACGCATCTGAAAAACCTCCACATCCACAGACCGGTTTACAGACTTCATTTAGCTCAAAGGAAAGTCCTAATTAGTCACTCTGAGTGATTTACTTGTTCATTTGGAAGGGGGGGAGGGGGGAGTCTAAGCAGAATTGTTTGAAATTATCCCTAAAGGGCACTGTAAATTAAGTGTTAATGAGGAATCCTGTGCAAAGGGCCACAGTAGCTAAATAAAATAATTAAGGTGCTAAGCGATAACATTCATTTGGTTCTCAATAATTTAGCCAGCCTGGTTTTCAACCAGGATATTTGCAAATGAAGCCACCCTCACCCCATCCCATGCCATCAGCGGGGACGGGGGTGCTGGGGCAGCTCAGCATCCAGTAGGATCAGGCCCACCACAGAAAGGTATCTTCCCTGGATGAAGCCAACAAGCTCCCGATTCCCTTTCCCACCCGAAGGACGTGCCCTGTTCCACTAATCACAGCCTGGATTTATATATGACACAAAAAGGATTGATTCGAGTCTACGACCAGTCTTTACAGAGGCTTTATTTCAACGGGCGGCATTTTTCCTCACTACAGCTGTTTTCTAACAGCTCACGTCCATCCTTTGGCAGGGCTGCAGACCTGGTTTACAACCAAACACAACACGGTGTGTTTTCAGATGTTCAAACAGCAATACCCAACAGAGAAACCACCTCATCGTCAAGAAATTGCTACGGGGGCAGTGGGCTCAGGCACGGGGCACGGCTGCTCTCGGTGGCTGCACCAGCCAAGACCGTCTCTCCCCTACAGCCCAAATTCTCTCCACAGCACGAGCAATGTACAAAGTCCCCCACGCAACAAGCACAAAGCTCGCAGCCATCACCAGGTATTTCACTGCAAGAACGGAAGGATTTGGCTGTGTGCTTTTAAAACCTAGCTTTGTCTCCCTTCCTGACAGCTGCTCCTCCTCCAAGGTGGCAGTGGGAGGTGTTACCTAGTACGTGCAGGTGTCTGACTTCAGCGGTAAACCAGGGTTCTGGTGGTATCGTGCATCAGCCAAGACACAACTCAGGTCAACGGGGGTCTCCCCGGAACTTGCAGCGACGGTGGAGCCCCTGAGAAGAGCACTTCCATATCCACACCAACAGAGCAAGCCGAGCAGCTTCCCCCGTCAAATAAAAAAAAAAAAATTTAATCACCGTGCCTCAGCTTTTGGCTGCAGATGGAGTGCAGGAGAATACCTGTAGGAAAGTAAAAATAAATTAAAAGATCTTTTCTAAACCACAAAAAAAAATCATTCTGTGGGCCTGGATGTTTGTTTGATTTTTAAATACAGAAATTTGGACTGTATTATTATGATGCCTTTGTGCATCAGAACCATTCTTACCAGCAGCAACAGAGACGTTCAGCGACTCGATCCCGGGGTGAAGTGCTCTGCCAGGGGGTATGGCCAGCATCCGATGGCACAAGAGCTGCGTCTCCAGGGAAAGTCCGTCACCTTCACTGCCTGCAGAACAAAGACACTGCTCAGGTCAGCTCGTAGCCACTGCCACGTCCTTCTCCCCCCTCCTGGAGTACTGCTCTTACTAATGCTGTGTCACAACTACACCCTTGCCCCTAAGCTCACCAGCAACCTTACCAGCTCCCCTGGAACAACAGCCAAGAGCTACCAGAGGCGAGACAGGCACCTTACTTGCCCTCCCCTCCTGGCCCACTCCAGTCTCCCCGGATCCGTTCTCCTGTATCTGAAGGGGTTTTGAGGAATACCTGTGCATGCACAGTGTAAAGCACACAGCCTTGTAGCCTGAGTGCAAAGCTCCCCTGTGCAAGCAGCCACCGTGCCAGCAGACGGCTGCCCACCTACACGGGCGGCTGCCAGGGGGAAGAGGCAGACAAGAGGCCACAGGGCCAATCTGGTCCAGCAAATCCCCCATCCCTATTGATAGTGACGGGTTCAGCCTTTTCAGCACACAGTACCACCAGCTGGGTGCAACTTGTGAATGCAGACAGTTTAACCAGAGGCTTCAATTGATTAGTTGTTAAACCATCCAACAGCCCTGATATGTTTGGGCTGATACACTGGTGAAACAGAGTTGAAATCTATCCCAGGTCATTAGTAGTTGTTTGACTCACACTGTCACAAAGGGAAATGGAAAGGGAGAGGCTTTAAACAACCCTGCGCACAGACAAGTGAAAATGCAGAAGACCACAGACCTCCCAGCCCGCTCGGCTCCCCAAAGAATTCTTCCACATTCATTATTTAGAGCGGCACAGACAGCTACACGGCTGCAAGAATATCCAGCTCATTTCTAAGATGTGCTCACCCTCTGACAGAACAGGCTCAGCATGCTGGCAGCCAAATGTTCCCCTTCAACAGCCAGACCCCGACCCCAGCTGAACCCCAGACTCGTCCCGGGACGGCACTGCCAGGGCACACGCTGCCTGCCAAGGGCTTCTGTGCCTCTGCCTGCGTGACCAGTGCCGTCACCAAGGACTTGCTCGAGCTCACCTAAATTTAGGTACTTAGCTGAAGTTTTAACAGCATACACGTATGCATTAGGCACTGTCTATGCCTCTGGAGACTCACTCCTCCACAAGGTAAATGAGCTCTTTGCTGGGCTGAGTTGCCACAAAATTCTTCCCCTGGTGTCTACTTGCAGCAGGTCCCATGCCCCGCTCCCTGTCTATTGATCTGCACGACACCCCTCCAACCACACAGGGTAGGAGAGTGCCATTTCATAGACTGGAAGCTGAGGCCCAGTCTCATGTTTTGCTGGCCTGATATAACTGGCAAGACGCATTTTGTGCAAGAAAAAGAATGCTTTGGGTAATTTATCTTGCATGACCTTCCCACATGAAATAAGCCACACTGGAAAAAGCATCCTTGGGCTGGGGGAAGTGAGCCTTCAGAAAAGCAAAATCCCATCCTAACCGTTATTTTTTTTCTTCTTTTCTTAAGCTAGAAGCACAGACAAGACCTGGGTGAGTTATCCAAGGTCGTGTGGGAAGCCTGGGCGACACAAGGAATCAGAGCCAGGTCTCCGATGGCCTGGCCTGCCTCTTCATCGCTAGACTGTGGCTCTCTAGGGATGCTTCAAGAAAGAAATAAAAAAAAAATCCTACTTTTTCCTGATGGAACACAGAAAAGTTTTACAACTTATAGCCATATTTGTCTCCTGAGCCTCTCAAGCCACACTCTCATGGGACTCTCCAACTGGGACAGCAGCTATTGCCAGAGGTACGATGCCTCCTGGAGCAATCCTCTCCTCTCTCTGATAAGGGTCTTACGATTCCTAATAAAGGCAGCAATTTTGCTTCCAGCTTTTACAAAGCTTTTTATGGCTCTGGCTGCTTAAAATAATTAGGAACCATAAATTCAGGGCAAAAAGACTTGCACAGTGTGACACAAGGGAGGGAGTATTGACTGAATCGGATTAGATCCTAGTTTATACTGGTGAACAAAACACTTCCCACTTCAGATCTTTGACTTCCATCTCTTAGCTTTGTCCCTCACTGACAGGCCTCAAGGACCAGAGCTAGAGCTTGGCTGAAATGATAAAACAGGTTTCCTGCCCCACTTACAATTAACACCACTGTGACAACTGCAGTTTCCAGTGCAGGAACTTAAAATCCAGGCAGAAGCAGCCATGCTGGCAGTTCAGAGAAATATGCAAAATGAGCATCTCGATAAAACCAATTCCAGGAACAGTCTTAAACCCCAAGCTAAAGACTGAAGGTGTAGGAAGAACAAATGACCCAGAAACTCTTCTTGCTCAGACATCTTAAGTGTTCCCAATCTGTTCCTGTTCGCACAAGGCTCCCAATCTTTAGGGCAGCCAGCCTGCCTGTCACCTTCAGCAATGACTCCAGTGCAGACAACATTAAGCTGGACTGTCCAAATCACTCTCTGCCAAGCCAGCAAGGATGCCAGGAGGCTGAATTCAAGTCTGCAAATGCTTAACTTACAAGACAATCTGTGCAATGCTAGAAAGCTCGCTACCATGCTAAATTATCTCTGCTGCTCTCTGCAGCTGCAGGTACGCTACATATTCAGATCTAGGACGTTTCTTCAAACAACCTCAGCATCAGACGACTGTAATGTTCAATTTTCTTTTCAGCGAAGAGTTAGTGCTCAGCAGAGAGTTGAAATCATTACTGCTGCAAGGTCCGGGAGCTCTCCTCATGCATCTACCAATCAGCCTCCAATCTCCCTTGACAAAAGGATATTTGGACTTTTTCCTGGAGAAATCTCTCATAATTCAAGGTAACGACACCACTGCCACTCTCACCCCCTTCCTTTCTCCTGGTGTTGTCGTCGTTTCTGGGATGCATTTCTTTGTGGCCCATCAGCAGCGCTGCCAGCCTCCCTACTCCCTTTATAATATAGCTCCACACATCTTGTAGAGATGCCAGATTTGCGGCGTTGTCTTGTCAGTATTTCTAGGAGTTCAATAAACATTTTAATTAAAGGAATGTCTTCTGAGCCAACAAAACTGCAGCACGGGGCAGGATTACAGCCCCTTGATGGCTCATCGCCAGCATGACACTACTTCCAAGTGTAAAAGCTCAAACCAGCTCCTGTGCCAGGAGACGGAAAGCGGGGGGCTACAGCACGGCCACACAAGGGTGCCTACAGCAGCGCTCCTGGGTGAATTTTTCTCTCTAGCTGCCACAGGGCCATTACTCCCTTCCTCTTCACTTTCTGGTAGGCTGCACAACCTCAAGTTCTGCCTACAAAAGACAGCATCCTTTGCAAGTATCCACTACACAACGAGGGGGCAGAAGCAGAAGGGCCCTGTAGGAATTGCCCAGTTTAGGCGCTCAGGGAAGTGGCACCCATTGCTCAAACTGCACACAGGTCTGGCAGGGAGGAGGTGACGCCTGCTCCTCCTGCTGGTACCGCAGCAGCCACCAGCTCCTGCCTCCTCCTAGGTGTACAAACGCACCCCCTGCAGG